TCTCTCTCTCNATGTAGAAGGTGGATAAGGAGGGCAGAACGAGAAGATGAAGAAAGAAGAAGAGTCTCTCCACTCGCTCAATCTCAGCAAAGCCAGATACTGACTGGCGTAAGAGTGTCTCCTTGGGGCCGTCCAATGTATGAAGGTGCAGAGGGCCGCATATGCACAACGATGAAGATGCAGCGATGGCGCCATCAGGTAAGTCCCCGCTACCCAGCGTTCACTGTCCTCTTATCTTGCCTGCTTCTAATCCTCAGCGCTACTCCTAGCATTGGAACTCGAACTCTAATGCTGCTCCAAGCAGCATGCCGGAGTGTGTCCCCCAAAGCACTGTGTAATAACCTATTGGCAGCCCAGCTATAAATAGCGCTGGGCCTAGGCTCACGATGTGCCTCAATGCTTCCAGACCAAAGGGGCTGAACTAGAAAATCGGCTCAGCCCCAATCAACAAGTGGCAGGCTAAAAAGCAGCTGTTGGGCTTGAAACGAGGCCTAGTCCTGCAACAGTCCAAATTCTGGTTACCGACCTAACCCATAACCCGCCAGGACTCTGCTTGTGCCAAAAAAATGTTAACATGGGCCTGAAAAGGCCAGACCCGGTACTGTGGCCTGGGAAATTGTCCAGGGCCTAAAAAATGAGATAATGCTGGGGCCCTTGGCACCTGCGTGTATGCCCCTCTGACTCCTTGAAGACGAGCTTATTGTCCAGGGTGAAGCTGTCAAGCTGAAGGAGGAGCAGAGTCCATGTAGGGCGGGGTGGGTAGTTGGTGTGAAGCCTCCTTGGCGAATCTTGTGCGCTGAGGACTGGCATAAGCACAGTCTCTTAAACAAGCGCGACTGATGTAGTTGCGCGTAGAGCCTATATCTGCAAGTGTCCGGCTACCTACAATTGATTCTACAACGATCAACTCTCCAATAAGACCTTTCGACATAGTCACCCAAGATGCTAGTAGGTCTCTTTGAGCCCACTCCCTCTCTAGCTCCTCTAGGGACTTAGATACACCCTGTGTGCAGAGCAACAGGTGGCCTGGATACATCTGCAGGGTGACTGTAGGGCCAGTGACCAATGCCATCTTTTCCTGAGAAGTCGAGGGATTGACTAACTCCTCAGCCTTTGCAGAAGCCGTCACAACTTCTACTGGTTGCACGTGTTTCCCTGCGCACTCTGCTGCTGTTGTGCAACCTGTGGTGGTTCCTTCTGAAGGACTTTCTTGTTTGGACACCATGCTGACCGCACTTGATTCATGCGCCTCTAAAGAACCTGTTCTTCCACACATCATCCTCAAGGCCGTACTGGACCCAACCTTGGAGAAAGGTGGTTAATGTATGCATATATTTTCAGGTCCCCTTATATTCCCTCTGGTTTCAAGCCGGTGCAGCAGTTTCAGATCGATCTTGCATGCTTGGATGGAGAGACATCAAACAGGTTTCAAAAGCTTCAGACACTTCAGGTCATGACCACAGTTTCAAACGGGTGTTGCAGGCCTGAAAGCGGTTTCAGAAGCTTCAGCCATTTCAGATCATTAACGGTTTCAAGTCTCCCCACTTGAGCCTGTTGAAATGACCTGAAGTGGCCGAACCTTCCGAAATCGGTTTGAACTGCCCCCCATCCAAGCATCAGAGATGGGCGCAGTTGAAACTGCTTTCAGAAGTTTCAGCCATTTCAAGTCATCTCAACGGTTTCAGATCAACGGTTTCAGATCGATGATTAATGCTTCGGTGGGGGAAGCTAAAACCAGTTTCAGAAGGTTCAGCCAATTCAAGTCATTTTGGCCGTTTCAGATTGATGTTTGATGAATAGATGGCAATTAAAGAAAATAAAAACAGGTGAAAAATTCTTAAGAAATTTAAAAACTTGCTGCTCAGGGGTCCTTCGGCCAGACGGAAGGAAGCGTGCTGATTCTTATTGTAATAATTTTCTGGCTTGCCGGCGGAATAGGAACCGGACTGATGCCCCCCAGAATGGAAGGATCCAGGACCGTAAGGCCCTGTTTTATTTATAAAAAAAAAAAAATGAAAGCCCTGGTTTCAGAGGACCCTTCACTTTGAAAATCCCACATTCAGACAAAATCACCTGAGAAAAAACAATATTTTGCAGATCTGGAATGCACTTCCCACATTCAGACAAAATCACCTGAGAAAAAACAATATTTTGCAGATCTGGAATGCACTTCATTTCTTTCATATCTGAAAATTTGAGGACCTGTTGACCACTAGGGACCTTGGACCTTGTACGCCATTCCTCGACCCTTTGACTGACCTCCATTCCGAGGCCCAGTCCCCTTAGCCTTGACTGCAGCCAGAACCACATTCTGGCTCAGTCCCTGTGGACCTTGAAAACCTTCCAAAGAGGCATTTGGCACCCAATTGTTCACGATCTCTGACATATTCTGGCTCGAACTGAGGATGAATGGCATTCGGTTTTCGTCAGAATGAGCTAATAACAAGACCATGATCTACAGGTGGTGATTCTCTTTTTTTTGGGATTGACGGAATAAGGACTTCTACGTAAGGATTTGGATCCATCAGCGACCCTTCACGTAATGAAACCAGTGACTCTGGCATAACAGTCTTTGCCACTGCAATCATGATGCAGTGTTCAGAAAGTGGAGCCATACCTGCTGTGACAGCACCTCACCTGTGCAAGGGTGCAGGTAGTCATAGTGCTACTTGAGGCCATCCTGCAGGCAATGAGACGACTGTCTGAACAGCCTTTTTTTCTGCAGATTAACCCCTTGTTGATGCAGTTGCCACATGCAGGCATTACCTTCTAGCCAGGTACTGTGACAATGACTAATCCGTTCAGCGTTGGATCTATCCGCACGCTACACGGAACAGAATTAGTGATCTGTGGCATAATTATCAGATTGTTAATTTGCCAAGCCATGAGGTCTCCGTTGGAAGATCCTATTCCTTTGGCACATCTCACAAGGCAATAATCCTTTGGCACACCTCACAAGGCGATAGTTGTTTCGCACACGTCACAAATACTTTTCATTGGATGCCACTCATCGTATTGCTGCAATACGGAACTGGGAGCATGTCAGTCTTATTGCTGACTCTCACAGGGATGAAATTGGCCTAGTATGTGACCTGCTGATTTCGAGCTCTGGATTGATGATCTTGTCCTTCGCTTCCTGTGAGCGAAAGTTAAGGAGACTCGGCTCACCCCGTGCACTTTCAATTTCATGGCGTCCAAATGCATGAGAACTGGATAGACTAGAATATGAAGACGAGAAGATAGACAATTTCATTTAAAATAGAGGAGAGAATGATCACGCAAACGATTACGAAGTCTCTCTTCTCCCTCTCCAGCACCGGGTACTACCTCTCCTCTCACCTTCTGTCTCTCTCACCAACAAGTCACTTTCCATTTAATGCGCACCACTGCTTCTGTCGCACCACACCTTGCCACATTTTTTCTCTCTCGCCACGCCTTAGCACAATGAATCAGGCCTGGTGATGACACTGCAGCATACCTTGAGCAGCAGTGAAGACAACAGCAATTAAGAGTGTCAGCATGAAGACGCCAGGTAAGGATCACTCTCTCCCACCAGCCTTCTGTCCTGCCTCTCTCTATCTCACTCTCCTATACACTAACAGCTATGGTGCCGAGGCCTCTCTTACTTTGCAAGAAGCTATGGCTGCCATAACCTACCTCTCTACTCCAGCCTGGTGCAAGAAAGACTGCTCCAGTGCACAGGCATCGGCATCAACTCGCCCAGGCAGAATGAAAGCCCAGACTGGGGCAGAGCCAGCTTTTGTAGTATCGACTTGGGCTGGGCTGCCTCAGGTTGCCTCCTTGAATGGCTGAGATTTCTTCATCTGTGTCGCTAGGATTTTGTCGGGGCATGTGTGTGCCTGGTCCTACTGAGTCTTAAAGCTTCTGGAAACTGTACTGAGGCGTTGGATGACGTGTAGGAGTCGACTGTTCATACAAACCAATGTATAGGTTTGAGAGAGTGCATTAAGATGCAGCTTTCCCACTTTTTCTTCTTAGGTCAAGATATAGAACACGTGAATACGCAGTTGCTTCACCTTCCAAGCAAACCTCATAACGTGTGCATTCCAGTGTGATCAAAGGTGATCACAATATCTGGGAATGATAAAGACGATGATGGACTTTGGATAACAAAAGACAACACTCAGAACTATATACTCCAGAGTCCATACTGAGAGTTGTCATCGTCTCACGTCTCATTCTTTCTCATTGTCCCTCATTTTCTCTCATGCTCTCTCTCATTCTCTCGCGTTCTCTCGTTCTCTCGTTCTCTCGTTCTCTTGTTCTCTCGTTCCCCCATTCTCTCATTCTCTCATTCTCTCATTATCTTCTCTCTTCTCGCTTCGCTCTTCTCTCTTCTCTCTTCTTTTCTCTCTTCTCTCCTCTCTTCTCTCCTCTCTCCTCTCTCCTCTCTTCTCTCTTCTCTCTTCTCTCTTCTCTCTTCTCTCGTTCTCTTGTTCTCTCGTTCTCTCGTTCCCCCATTCTCTCATTCTCTCATTCTCTCATTATCTTCTCTCTTCTCTCTTATTGCTTCTCTCTTCTCTCTTCTTTTCTCTCTTCTCTCCTCTCTTCTCTCTTCTCTCTTCTCTCTTCTCTCTTCTCTCTTCTCTCTTCTCTCTTCTCTCTTTCTCTCATTCTCTCATTCGGTCTCATCTTTTTCTGAGGTAGGGCTTTACCAGACTGGGAAACAGGCTGAGGGCGTGATTTAAACAGCCTGGTAGGCAAATGGCCAGGCAGGGCAGTAGGGTGTTGTACAGAACGTCCCACTTTCATCCGAGATCACTCATTATATTTGTTAAGCGATCTGTCGTGTTGATGAAAGGTCACAGATTTGATTCACAGTTTATTGAGCGTAAAGTATGAAAACTGTGAGCTGGTTTTTGGTGCTGCAGCAGTGCTAGGGGCACCCGACCAGTGCAATGTGCATATATGTCTTGAGATATCATTGCTGCTTTCTGTTGAATTGGGTTCTTGGCTGGCTTTTACCTTAGGCCATTTTGTGAGGAACAACCTTCCTCATTTGGGCACTCTCTCTATTGATAGAGTTTCTGGCCTTTCTCTCTGTCTTTCTGTTCCAGAGGGAGGATGAACGAAGCACGCACGGAGCTGCTGAGCATCATGAAAGAGGAGTCCCTGAAAAACGTCATCTTGCTGGTGCTGGCCAACAAGCAGGATCTAGAAGGCGCTATGAGCCCGGCTGAGATAACTGAGAAGCTGTGTCTGAAGACCTTGCCACAGGGTGCATGGTTTGTGCAAACAACGTGTGCAGCAACGGGTGAAGGTCTCACAGAGGGCCTCGACTGGCTTGCGAGCCAGGTCAGCACTGGCATTGCCGCATCCCCTGGCCGAGATCACTGAGAAGCTGTCCCAGGAGAGCTTGCCTGTCTGCTGACGTGACGACTGGCAGCTGATAACTTCTGCCATTTTTTTTTTCTTTTTCCCCCACTTAGCTCTGCACTGTTCTCTGCTGCTTTAACATGAACAAGCTTAAGATTTGCATTTGTCTGCAGTTAATGTCAGCAAGCATCTGTTCTGCTAAAGGTAGTGTACTCCTCGTGCTCGTCATCCTCGTTTCGTCTTGGTTTCTTCTGGCATACAGGTTCCCTTTAACAAATGTGCACTTGCTCTGAATCTGTGGCCGTCGATTCATTTGCTCTTTGCTCAGTCCCCACTCTTTTGCTGTGCTCTAGTGGTGTATCATTGGTGTAAGCCAAAGCTCAAAATTAGAACTCTTACGTACACTGGAGAGGCAGGTAAATGAGAGAAGCTGCTGTCATGAAGCCGACAGAGAGACATGAGAGGAAACAGCGGTGGCCGGAATGGAGAGCTGTGGAGATGAGATACACAACACAGCCATCATGAAGGAGGTAGCTGTGCCAATGCCATGCCTAATTCTTGATTTCCCTCTGTCCGTAATTCTGCCCCTCTCTCTTTTTTTGCTGAAAATTCTTTGCGCTGTCATTCTATTTTTAAAATATGATGATTCTTTTCTATTACAGAAGAGAGAGCTCGAACTTGGGTGTACTTTCCCTTTGGGGTTGTCAGCAGGGATAAGGATGGAAAGCAAGGGATTCTTGATGATTGATCACATGGATGGTTAAGAACGAAGGCAAAGATGTTGGGGGATATGTTGTCCTCCATTGTAAGTATAGCATGAACCTTCGGGTCCAGTGAGAATGGACCTGAGGTACAACGATCACTGTTCCTAGGTGATTTTGCTGCTGCCCGTAATGCTGCACATTGTGCAGCCGTGACAGAATCTGCATTAGTGTGATTCTGTAGTTGAATTGTCTAAATGTCTTTGATGGCAGCCTTTGCTACAATCGAGAAATATTTTATTGTCTTGACACACTGGTGACAAAGATCGCTTGGCGGGAGAGAGGGTGAGAAGTAGGAAAGGGAGACTGTGATTGCTTGGTAGGTGCACACAGAGAGAGAGAGAGAGAGAGAGAGAGAGAGAGAGAGAGAGAGAGAGAGAGAGAGAGAGAGAGAGAGAGAGAAAGAAAGATAGATAGAGAGAGAGAGAGAGAGAATAGGGGGAAAGGAGGAGAATAGTGGCAGCGGGAGCGTAAGGTGGGTTGCAAGTGGAGGAACACTATAGTACCCAGGATTGACGAAGGAAGACGGGTGAGGGAGAGGAAAGTGAAGCAAGGGATGAGATGGTGTTCGGCAGGAGCCGGGACAAAGTGCGTTCCAGCTTGCTTTTATGGTATAGACTCTTTAGAGTATGGTAGGAGTGGAGTGCAGATGATGGTAGTGGGTGGTCTTGTAATCGTTAGGCCAGTAGTGTTTGTTTTTTTGTGTTTTGAGCTGCTTAGTGGTTACCTCTTCTTGTCACTTCTATCTGCATAGAAAGGACTGCGCACTGGCTGGGTTGGGCCTATGACTTTCACTTTCACTCGCTGGAAAAAGCTACAGGTAATTTGTGTCTCTTCGTGGACTGCATCCCTGAGTGAATGTTGAAGCGACCTCTGTGTAATGCATAACGACCCCCCTTCGTGCCCATTCGGGATGCCCGGCTGCATGGTGAAGTTTCTTTGCCAGTAAGATCTGGTTGCTGGTCCATGTGTGATGTTTGATGGCGATTGGAAAAAAACGGCAAAGATTATCCGAGTAGGTCCACATATAATGCTCTGTTTCTCCTGTGGGTCCTGCTTTATAAGTGGTTCGCTGCCCCTGTAGGTGACCTATTTGGTGATTTCGGTCGGCATACATTGAAGAAATCAGCCTGGGCTGAGTCAAGTTGTGCACCTGGTCTGTTGACTGGGGTATCTTTCCATTAACAGATCCGGTCGTGTGAACATATTTATTAGAAAGAAAAGAAATGATCAATTTGATCCAGTTGTGGCCCAGAGCAGTGGTGTGGTATGGTGTGCGGTGCTGTGTCCGAAGTGGTTGCTTTTTTTGTTTTTGTGAGAGGAAAGCAGGCAAATCCACTGGCAATTCGGATCTTCGTCCTTGTTTCGTTGTTTTCTATGGTTATGGATGACATATTTCCTCCCTGCGTTGGCTTGGCTTGTTGGCTCAAGCACCAAACATAGTGAAGGCGTTGCTCATTTGATGTCTAATACGTTCGCTGTGGGTGCAACAAATGGTTGTTTCTCACCGTGGTGCCATTGCTGCCGAAGATCTCAGAGATGAGGATAATGATAATCATCAAATAAAGGATGATGATGATGATTTGATTGATTTTCTGTAAGGGGTGCAGGTTGGTAGTGCGTGCTTGGCAAGACGAGGTGTGCAATTGCAGCAATTCCGCCAGCATGCCTGCTGTAAGGTGCTTGTACCATGCTTCTCAAGTCGTCAGCAAGGCCGTACGTATCCTTTGATCGAGTGACATGAAGCCCGTGAGGACGCAGAGGGTCAGATAACAAGGTGAGTGTGAGAGCCAAATGGTATGGCAGATTGTAAGTGAAAGTTGCTACTGAAATATAATTAATCTCTTTACTGTCGACATTTTGGTAGAGAATGGCGGGTAATGCGCATTGAGTTGGACTAAAATTCTTAACTTTGGGATCCAAATTTTGGTTATTTCTTTTTGGTCTTATTGGGCTTAAGCCAAGGTATTAAAGGCGAGAGCCTGGAGAAGGGGATTTTGTAAGAATTACTTACTGTAGATGAATTGTGCACCATTGTGCTTTAGATGTGTTTTTTGCGCTCTTGCCTTCGTCGTGCTCTCTGCTAGTGATTTAAAGTGGTTGGGGAAAACGGGCACAGTGCACGAGATAAAGAGCCACAATGGAACACACACACGCACACGAATTGGTGAAAGTCCAATGAAACAGTTCGGTACAGTCATGCTGTTTTTGTGCAGTTGTGTATGCTGAACATGAGAACACACAACATATACTTGCTAAGCTCTCCGTTCAGGCGGATCGATGCAGCTAGGGCCGGGACCGTACTAAGCAGTCTTGCCAGTGGGTATCCGTGGCTGAGTGGATTAGTAGAGTGGGTTTTATGGCTGTGACAGACTAGGTTTTCAAACTTGCTACCATTGTTGTTGGGGGTTTGGACCAACCGTCTGCTAGGATTGCAAGGTTGGTGTGAGTAAGGTCGACCACTTCTCTCAGCAGTATCAGTAATTCTGGGTGATGTGGCTACTAGTCCTTATCGATCAGTCGAATGCATCCTGGGCACACTGTCGGGGTTCAATCTCCTGATGAGTTGGTGATAGCTCGACGAACCAGCCTGGCACAGTGTATAGCGAACAACATACACACGCAGACGTAGAGGCAATGGGCAAGAGAGAGATAGGGGAGACCGGGGGGGGGGATATATATATATATTGTCACATCACTACAAACTGAAAGAGCGCACTTTGCGGAACAAAGAATAAAAGCAAAAAACGGGCACAGTGATAACATGCAAAAATAAAAATAAAAAGAAAAACAAATAGAAAAACAAAAAGAAAAAACAAGGGCAGATTGAAACCATTAAATTTCTCATTCTTCTTTGAACTCCACCTCCACTGTGCCTCTCACGTGCAAGGCTCGCCA